GACTCTTTTGGCATCCATTCCTCTGACCATTATGCATTAGTGTTTCCCAGCATTTTGCAACTCCGTTCTCTCTTCACACAACATAGTCACCCTGAATAAGCTCATTCTGTGCTTCACCTGTCATCTGTTGCCTGCATGTTCATGTTTATGGCCCAAATCTTTCTCTTGAGCCCCCAAAGCCATGTAAGTCAGCTGACTACTGGACAGTCCATCAGGATGTCCCACATGTATGTCTCAAATTGATTATCTCGTCCCCTGCTGTACTGGCAATATTTCCCTTCAAAAAATTTAACTCTCCTCCTCAATGCCACTTAATCCCTTACCACCACCACCACCATCACCCATCAGTAAGTATAATTCAGATTCCTAAATGTTAAATTCTTTTACCTCTCTCAAAACCACTGCCACCACCTTGCTTCAGGCCAGACTTCTGCTTTCCTTTTTATTAAATTGTCCCCAACTAACTCAACCCCCATAATATATGAGAAAAGGGATCTACCTGAAATGCATATCTAATTGTGTCCTTTTTCTGCTTAAAATCCTTCCCTGTTGCTCTTAGGTCTGAACTGCTGGAAACAGTCTCAGAGCTTTGTCATCATCTGGCCTTTGCTGATCTCTCCAGATGAATCTCTGACCCTCCCTACCTCACATTTTACAGTTCAGCATTATTAAATTGCTCTTCTCCACAGGTTCAATTCTGTTTCTCATCTCAGCCTTTTTCCCCCAGCTGCCTTCTTTCATGAATGGCTTTCCCGGCCCCTGCCTACCTCCCTCCTGTCCATTCTACAGTAAAACCATCCATCCCCTGCTCTACCCACCCCGCCTAAAGCCATGAAAGGTATCCCTGTACCCACAGTACCCTGCACCAGGCAGATTTCACATTATTGTTACATGTTAATATCCCCAACCAGAACATTAAGACAAAGGCTCCGATTTTCTTAAGTTCTGAGCAGATACTGTGCTCCAAATGTGTTGAATGAAGGCTCAATTCCCAAATGCAAAAATTGTAGTCAATAGAGCCGCCACCTGGGGCACGTGTAAGACCGCAGCACAGTTCACAGGCGCTCCCTCATCTGCTCCAAGTTCCCTGAGGGCGCTGTCGTCACCCCTGCTTACTCAGTGGGGGTTTAGAGGTGAAAGGACTTGCCCGCAGCCACTCAAGAGGAAAGGGTGGAGCCTCGTGTGCCACTCCATGCAGTCAGGAGCTGGCAGAGACGGCCAGCTATTCTCTCTCCTGGAAACAACTCCAGTTTTAGTTGTTAACAGACTACATTCCAGTTAGGTGTGTGGTGTGACTCAGTCCTGTGGGATCTCAGGAAGTCTCCTTAAAATGAAATATGGGCCAAAGTGACAAGTCCAAACAAGGCCATGAGGTGTCCTTGAGGATGAAAGCCAGGAGTGAAGATGGTGTGGAGTTCTGTGTCAGTCGTGGTCTGGCCACCTTCATGTAAGGTCTGTCAATACATGGCTATACCTGGTACAAAGGGTCAGGCTGAATCTCACCCCTCTTAATCCCCTGGGGGCCAACTCAGAGAAGGAGAAGCTGGCATGGGTGATATATAAAGTGTGTCTTTATTTGAACATCATTCCACCTGCACTGAAGCTCAAACCCAGCAGCAGCAGAAGGGGTCAGGACCCAAATCAGTGTTACCAAATTGAACGATGAACAGCGAGGACACATTCAGACGGAACTTACTAATGGAGTGTAGACAACACCAAGCTATCCTAATGACACATAGCACAGGCCCCCTGCTGGTCAGAGCTCGGGAGGACTGTGGCTCCCTTGTTCCCTTCTCAGGAAACTCCAGTCCCACCTGAAGGCTAGCCCTGAGCCAGGCAGGGGCCTGTGGAAGTTTCTCGTGCCAGGAAGATCCCAGCTTCTCCAAAGAGAGGGTTTTTTGGTTTCCCTCAGTTCACACTGGGAGCTGCAGAAGGGTGAATCCCCTGTGCCCAAGCAGGAACCTCAACAGGCAGCCAGGCAGGAATTTTTCCCCACACACAGCCTTCTCTAAAAGCTCCCAACTTCTTGGCTCTAACAGGCCTGAAAAAGATCTTGAACCTACCCATGGTACTGATCCCCAAAGAGGAAAGTTCTCACACCCTGAGACCTGGAAGGGCTTGAGCAAGCGGCGCTCTGGACCCCCTCGAGGTTGGAGCTGCCTTGGCCTCTCCTGAGAGAGTCCTGCATCCGGCAGAGGAAAGCCTTTCTGGCCCAGGCAGGCGAGGAGAGGAGTGCCTCAGTGGGCCGCTCACACAGCTCAGCCTCTTTCAGTGACCAAGAGACTCAGCTGTGAACAGACCATCTCCTCTGCTTCAGCCTCCTCCCAAAGGCTTAAACCAAGTGGCCAGGTGTGGGTGAGAGCAAACCACAAACATCCTCGCTGTGATGGCTTCCTGGCTCTGGAGCCATCTGGGTCCTGGCTTGCTGACGCTTCAACCTCACCTGGGGCCTCTGGCTGAAGCATCTCCTTCCTGCTCTGTTCCCACCTCTGCTGAAGCCTCAGGGACAGGACTTTGGTTTGGTACCCACTCCAGCCTCCTTCCCTTCCCTAAGGTACCCTGGTGTTCCTCCAGCCCCACCAACAGTCTCCTCCTAACCCCAAGCTCCTGGGTGCACTGCCCACTGCCCCTTAGTCAGGGCAGCAGGGGGCTGGGTGGACGGTGACTGGGAAACACCGTCCAACCACTCCAAAGGAAACCTCCTCCATTTCTACCACTCACCCACTCCAGTGGCGCTAACCTGCTGGGCAATCACCTAGATGCGATTTCTTCCCAACAGGGTGGGGCATGGCTGCCTGGGCCCTGCCTCTGCCTCTCAGGAGCTAGGTCCTAAGCTTCCCGCCAGCAGCGCACAGGGGTTTGTGGCTCCCATGGGTGGCAGCGGCTCCCCATTCCCCATCGCCCTCCCCTTCCTTTCTTCCCCAGCACCTGGCCCCCTACAACTCCTCTTCCTCTGCCTCCTTACCATCCCTGTGCCTGCCTTGTCTCTGGCCACCTCCCCTCCCACATCCTAGTTCTCCATCCATCACATCCCCCTCTCTGGTCACTCTTTCACTACTTTGTAACACCTCATTCAGTCTCCTTCTCTGTAGCTCCATCTCTGTGCCTCCTTCTCTTTCCCCAATCTCTGTCTGCTTCCCATTTCTAATCACTTTTTCCTGCTCCCTCCTCCTGATGGCTTCCAACATTGGGCTTTGCTTAGGATCTTGAAGGAACTCACTTCTGCACCCCCCCCCACGAGGCTCCCCCCACCCTCTCACTCAGCTCGGGACCCTGGGGGGAGCAGGAGGGGGGGCACAGTGCAGGGGCCGGACATGGGGGAGGGGCTGGGGGGGTGTTTGCCCAGGAGGAGGAAGTAGAGGGCAGGGATCAGGACTGAGCACGTTCCAGGTTTCAGGAATCCTCCCAGAGCATGTGATTCCAGATGGAGGACTTGGGCAGAGGATTTCTAGGGTGTCTCTTGGCAGCCCTAACTCTCAGGCCCAGTGGAAATGAACACAGGGCTATGAACACATGGCACTCGCTGCTTTCCTCCCTCCTGCGGCCGAGGCCAACGACATGGTGACCACGAGCTTCCCCACTGAGCCTGCAGGGGCCTCCCGCTGGCCCTCCACAGTGGGCCAGGCAGCGGGCACCTGGAGACAGAAGTAGGCACACAAGATGAAGCTAACCGGCCACCCAACGGGGGGCTGGAGGGGGCCATCCACACCCCAGGCCAGATAGCTCCAGGCCCCCCAGGCAGTGACAGGAGGTCAGACACACCTATAGTCTCCATCCTGTGCTCCTGGTGGGGGGTGTGGGGGGGTGGCCCCACAGTGGGGGGAGGGGGGACAGAAGACCCTTCATCTGCCCCCCACACACTTGCACACACACACTCACACACATTCACTCATGCCTCGGCTCCAAGCGTGCCACTGGGTTTGAGACCCTGGGCAAACCGCAAGGCGAGAGGTGGGCAGGGAGAAGGAAGAGGTGGGGACAGGGTTACAAGGCCTGGGGATGGGGACAGGGGGTACCCTGTTCAGAGGTGACCTGCAAGTTCAAGTTATGCAGAAAAGTATCAAAGAGGCAAGACAGTCTCTGCCCTTGGCAGAAGGGGGTGGGGGGGACAACATGAGATGGGGCAGAGGGGTGAGGCGTCCCCTAATTCCCCACTCATGGGCCCCTGCCCCAACCCCCAACCCTGACAACAGGGCCAAGAAGTCTACGCTGTACAAAACAGGCCAGGGTCAAGGTCCAGTCCCTGGTGCGACGTCCGCGCAGGGAGGAGACGGCCGGCCCCAGGCCGAGCCACTTTCAGCCCCAGCCTGCTGCAGCCACGCGCCACCAAGACAGGAGTCTGAGTGAGGCCTCCAGAGAGGCCTGTCCTGGCTCAGAGTCCGCGCTGACAGGGCTCCAGGCAGCAGCAGACCCGGAGGCCCTGTGCTTTCTCCCTCGGCGCAGCTCGGATTCCTTCAGGAGAGCTGGAAGCAGGCTGGAGCAGAGGGGCCTCGGGGAGGCCGGTAGTGCCTGGAGCTCTGTGAGGAGATGATGGAACCGTTGTTGGCAAAAAAGAAAAAAGGTAGGAAAGAGTCCGGTCTGCCCTGGAGCAGTATCTTGAATGAGTTTCTGCAGGAGGTGGGGACCAGAGGAAGCGAGGATGGAGCCAGGCCGCAGCCCTCCAGACAGGGGGAGCCTGGTGGGGAGCCACAGCACCTCTTTCCCCAGAGACTCAGCAGGGCCCCGGCCAGGCTGGAGAGGAGGAGGCGGCCAGGGGCTGGGGGCCAGCTCCCTTAGGTCAGCTGAAGGAAGTGCAGACCCCCAGGGTCTGCAGGGCCTCTCCCCTCCCCCAGGCTGCATGTCAGCCCCAACCTCTCTTCAAAGCCCAGAGTTCGCAGGCAGATAGCAGGTGAGGTCAGTCCAAGATCGGGGTCTTCCCTCGGAGCGTGAATGGAGGGATGAGAGGGCAGGAGACAGGACAAGCTGAGGGCAGGTCAACTCCTGGGCTGTGATTCCGGCCTTCAGGGTCCCTGTGTGTGAGCAACGGGACACGGGAGGACTCCCCATCCGGAGACGTCACCCCCTGGCCGCAACACAGAGCTTACTGTAGAGCCCACAAAATCTAAGAGAGACAGAGAGAGAGAATTGGAGAGAGTCAGAGGCCGCCCGGCACTGGGGCTCCCTCAGCCCCTCCGCAGCGCAGAGCTGCGTGGAGGGGTGAGCTGCACAGGTTCAGAAACGCCACCAGGCCCGACGAGCTGGGAGGCCTTGAGCCAGCTCATTCAACCTGAGCCCCAATTTCCTCCTCGGTACAGTGGACATAACAGCCTACTTCTTCACAGAGTGACTCTGAGGGGTCAAAAGACATAAATGATGCCTGCCGAGGGCTCTGCACACAGTAAATAGTGAAAATGCCAGCACCGTAGAGCTTAATTTTGTTCCAGAGCGCTTTGGCTCGGAACTGAGCTGTGAGGCTCACTCACCTTGAGTGCCCAGTGAGGGAAGGAAATCCCCAGGTGCTGAAGGAAGGCAAACTGGGGCTTTGGGGAAGCAGGAGAGGACGCTGAGTGGGACCCACATGGCCAAACCCCCTCCAAAAGGCCACGTCTGTCTTTGTACTGCACTTCTGGAAGCGGCCACCAGAGGGCAGGCTCCGACCTCACACGAAGACCGTAGAAAGCAGCAGGCGTCTGACTCCAGCGACAGGCGCCTCGGCAGCCCAGGAGGGCTCTGAAAAGGGGGCTGGCAGCAGGGAAGAACTTGGCCTTCAGACCTGGACCTGGGCTCAAATCCTGGCTGCACCACTTAGGTGACCTCGGGTAAGTTACTGGACCTCTCCAGACCTCGGCCGTCCCGCTTATAAAATGGTCACGGTGCCTGCCTAGTGGGAAGCCGTGACAAGTGACAGCTTTCACTGAGCATTCACCACCTGCCCCTTCATAGGCACAATTTTGCTTCATTGCAGGACAGCCCTGTAAGGTGGTACCTTTCTCAACACTGTCATTTTTTTTCCTTTTTCCAGTTTTATTGAGATATAGCTGACATACAGCATTGTATAAGTTGGAGATGTAGAGCATAATGGTTTGACTTACATACTGTGAAAGTATTAGCAACCAATTTAATTTTTTTCTAACTTACTAAATGCTTAATATATTGTGAACTTCATTTAAAACACATTACAAGTGCTCAGGGCTTGAGCACTTGAGCTTACAAGCATCCCAGGTGCACTGGGATGACCCAGAGGGATGGGATGGGGAGGGAGGTGGGAGGGGGGTTCAGGATGAGGAACACATGTAAATCCATGGCTGATTCATGTCAATGTATGGCAAAAACCACTACAATATTGTAAAGTAATTAGCCTCCAACTAATTTTAAAAAAATGATATAAATAAAGGGGAAATTATCAAACTGGAAAAAAATAAATAAATAAAACATTAAATTTACATAACCTACATTATGTGAAGTAGGCTACAAAACCCTCAATATTTTTTGGCATTCTGAAATTTTTACACAAACCACAGCTGGGGGAGTGCTGATTCATTAGACAAAATCTGCTCTTTTCTTCTTTCTCTTACTCCAGTAGTCACCTCTAAGACACGTTCGACTGGAGGCTGAGTCTTCCCTATCATGGGGGGTGGGCAGGGTGGTCACCCTCCTCAGAGAAGGAAGCCTCATGGAGAACAGGGACTGGGACATGAGTCAGTTATCACTCAGATTCCTCTAAGATGCGAAACGTCTGACTTGTAGAAGGAAACCTCTCAGGAAGATGAAATGAAAAGGTTCTTCTGAACCCGGAGGGCCTCCCCCCGTCCCTTGTCTCATCTCACGAGCACAATTCTGAGGGGTCCCTCTGGGCGCAGGTGAGCTGAGTTGGGTGGAGTCTGGGGAGTCAAAGCCTAGCACTGGGCAAGGGTCCCTATGGTCATCTGGTGTGCCTGTTTGTATCCAAGCCCCATTATGCTGAGAAGAGCATGGCGACTAAGGCCAACTCCACAGATCAGGTCTCTGAGGATCCTCAGGGGATAAAAAGACCCGAGTCTTACTTTTTTTTGTCCACCATTTTCATTTAGGTACTGCAAGAAACTGAGGCTCAAAGAGGTAAAGTCATTTCTTAGCTCAACCTACTTCCAACACAGTCTGCCATCACGGTCCAAACGTACTCACACCGCAATACTAGAGTACCTCCTGGCAAATGCGCTAATAACCACCACTATCATTATGCCCATTTTATAGATGAGAGACTCAGGTGAATGTAATTAAAGGCAAGTGCTGAACATAGATCAGCATCAGCATCTGCTAACAGCTCAAGGAAGGCTGAGACTAGGATAACGGTGAAATCCGATTTCTCAAGGCGGAAAACGGGCACGCAGACAGGCAGACTGTCTCCCCCTTCTCCAGGGGCTGTGTGGGCCCCTGGGTCAGAGGCTTGACCTTCCTTTAGAAAACAATCTGGAATTATCACTACAACTGTGAGTGTGCAATTCCACTTCAGGGAAAGACACTGAGAAAGCAGAAGACAAAGACCAAGACAGTCATTCTTGTAATGACCTTCCCAGTAACAGTCATTCTTGTAATGACCTTCCCAGTAACAGTCATACTTGTAATGACCTTCCCAGTAACAGTCATACTTGTAATGACCTTCCCAGTAACAGTCATTCTTGTAATGACCTTCCCAGTAACAGTCATTCTTGTAATGACCTTCCCAGTAACAGGAAAAAAAAGGGAACCTCCCTAACAGCCCCTACGAGGAGAATGGTTAAGAACCTACAATTCTGTCGTCTTATGTAACACTAAGCATTGAGTGAAAAGGACAAGATGGTCCTCCATAAAATGATAAAGATCTTAAAGACGTGCTCTAGAACTGAGCCCAAAGAGCAATCTGAGGAGGGATTTGTTTCCGATGATGCCTCGCCTGTATCAGCACGTGACCCTACCGTGTATTCCATAGAGGGATGTACGTAGATAGATGCACAGGTAGGCATCTGACAACAGTGGTTAAGGCTCTGGCCTTGGTGGTGTCAATTTTTTCTTTACTGTATATTAATGTTACCTGGTACATATGGAGGTTTATGTGTACTATACTAGGTATAAAGCATACTGTACCAAACATCTGTAGGCTTACCATGTAGGAACTTAACTCACCAATAATCTGTACCCATCCACCTGTCCCCCACCTCACATCCTTGCCTCTCTGCTTCCATTCCAACCATAGAGAACCACCATCCTACCTTTTGTATTGACCTTTTTTTGTTTTAAATACAATATTAAACTATTTAGTATAGTGTTACTTAGTTTTTAGCTTTAAAAATTTTTAAAAAAGTCATCTTCTGGAATTTGATTCCCCCTGCCTCAATATTATGTTTACAGGATGCAGCCATTCATTGTTACCTAAAACTTGCATTCATTCATTTCCACACTTGTAAACAATTCCATGATGTAAATACACCACCATGTATTTATCCATCCTCCAAGCTGTTTTTAGTTGCTTGAAATTTTGAAACTGCTGCCAAGAGCATTTATGCACATTTCTCCTGGGTTTATACTCCTGGTAGGGTTTGCTGGGTCAGGCCCCTGCAAATGTTTAGATCTGAGGGATAACCTCAAGCCGTCTCCAAGGCAGTCGGCCTCTCGGTAAGGGCTCCTACTTGGGCTTCCCTTGACTTGGAAGGTGTCCCGCTCCACCCCCCGGCCGCCACGCCAAGCACGCCCACTCGCCTTTGTTCTCCTGCTTGAGCTCCTCCTGCAGCAGGTCGGTTTGCCGGTTACCCAGCACGAAGGCAAGGAAGGAGAGGATGAGAGCGTTGAGGATGCCGATGATGGCCAGGATGTACGCCCAGCGCACCGAACAGTCCCCCAGGGAGTACTTCCCAGTCTTGGCCCCGCACATGTCCCGGATCGTCTCGGCGTCCCAGCCGTCGGGGAAGATCATGCAGCCCAGCACGAGGCACAGAGCTGAAGGGGCGCCGGGCCGAGCCCACCGCCGGGTCAGGAAGCAAGAGAGAAGGGGTTGATTACTTCCCAGAGCCTGAGGACCACCAAAAGCCCCCCGTAGGCTGGGACCCCGCACCCCCACTCCGCCCATCAACCCAAGAGCTTGTTAATCTCCTACCGACCTAGAAACTAAACTCTAGGAAGGCCTCATGCCTTGGAGAGCAGAAACGCAATGCCTTTGCCTGCCCCATCAGATCAACAACTCCTCCAGGAAGCCCTCCTGGAGACAGGATAAAATAGCGAACCAGGGTCACCTCCTTCAGCTCCCTTTAGTATCTTGGCACATCGCTCCCTCATCCTCCTCATTCTTTTTTATTTCTGTCATTTACTCAACAAATTTTTATTCAGCATCATTTTCCAGGCTCAGTAGGCCACCTCCAGGCTGGAATCTCCCCTTCCTGGCAGTGAGAGTTTTTGATTGTATTTGCTGGAGTAATGTTGTCCTTTTAGTGTCTGAGAGTCCGACAGAGACTGCATCACTGTGTCTGAGACACAAAGGATCCCAAAGGTTCAGGCTGGAGCAACGGGGCCCTTGACCCCATGCCAGGGCCACAGGGTGCTAGACCTGGGTTTAAGATGACAGTCAGGACAAAGTGGGGGTGGTGGTCAGTTCTGCCCACTGCCTACGAGACACAGCTAGTCCCCAGGGTGGGTAGGGACCTGGCTTTGCCATCTCCTTCCTTCAACCACCACAGCACAGACTCCTCCCTGCCTGAGTTCTGCCTCTTCTGGTCTATCCCCCACCTTCCAACAGGACAGTCCTTCCGCACATCCCCAAGGATGTGTTCCTCACGCTGACACAGGGCTCCTCAACAGCACTCTGATCTTACACACACACAGGAGCAGCCCTTCATTCCCCTCTCCTGTGCTCGCCTTCTTCAAGACAATTCTCCCAACAGCTAGTCCATGCAGTGTTCAAGTGCTCAAGGGGAGGCCACCTCTATTTAATGGCTGGGAAACAAGTTTGCGGCAAAGGGGATGGCAAATGCAAGAAGCCTTGAGGCAAGAATGAGCTTGGTGAGTTAAAAGAGTTCCAACAGTCTGAAGATGCCCTTTAGAAACCCAAATGGGGAGGAAAACTCAGGGAGACATCAGGGCTGGAGATATAAATGTGGGTGCTATGGACATGTAAATCCCCAGGGCTAGACATTATAGAAACTGAAGGGAAGGCCCAGAACTGAGCCCAGAGGTGCTCTTATCATTTATGGGGCAGGAAGAGAGGAGGAGCCTCTGGAAAGGGCTTGACCCATTCATCTCCCCATATTCCCCTAACACTTTCCAAGACCCTCCAGGACCCTGGAGAGAGGAGGAAGGTCAATTGCCAGGGGTGAAGAAGTGGATAAGGACCCTAACGTCATGGCATCCCCAGGGCGCTCTGAGGGGTGGGGGGGAGGGCACTTCCACCTCCCCATTCTTGGTCCTGCATCTCCAGCTTGAGGCAAGGGTGAGGAAAACTCACCCCGTCCCTCTGCCTCCTCTCCTGTGTACAGTTTCCTCTCCCGCCCAGAGCATCCCCATCTCCATGGAAACGCGGCAGTATCCTGCGGGTGGTCCTCCTCCCTCTGCAAGCTCAGTGTTCAGTGAGTTTTTCTTCCCCAGGGCTCTGCGCCTGCACGTTCTCTTGGTCTCCTTGCCTCATCACTTACGTGTCTCTCTAGTCGTGCATCTCCATTCCTTTCTCTTCTCCACCCTTTTCATCTTTTTTTGCCTCTCTCTTCACATGCCCTCTCTCCAGCTAGTCCATACAGTGCTCCAGCCTCAGTTGTGACCCTCTTTTTTCCTTAGATCTCAGCATTTGACATTCATTCAACACCCCTCCTCTTTGTCTTTCTTTTCTCACTTCTCTTCACCTATCTCCTCACCCTTCCCCCTCTCTGACTCCATATATTCCACAAATAAATTCCAAATATCTTCCATGTGTCAGGCACTGTGAAGGCTGCCGGGGACACTGGCAGGCATGGCTTCTTGTCCTCAGGAGCAGAGGTGTGTGGAGAGGAATCAAATCAACACACAAACAGAATACTTATACATGTCAGGGAATGGCTGGAAAGAGACCCAGGATTACAGGGACACGCAGAGAAGGCAGGGGCTGGGACCTCGCCGTCTCTCACTCACGCTCTCTGCCTCCTTTGCTCTGCAGTGTTCTAGGTGGTGGCGATGGGGCCCCAGAGCCTGCTCTGGGAACAAGAAACACCCAGAGGTAAAGCACACGGAGAAAAGTCACTCGGACAGGTTTCCTGAGACCTGGGAAAGACAGGAAGAGACCTCCAGGGACAGTAAGTGATCAAGAGGCTCAACAGTCAGTGTAATAACTGGAGGCAAGGCAGCCTTCAACATCCCCATTTGCTGGATGAGGAAACCGAGACTGAGGTCTTTCGAGTACAAGTTCAAGTATCTTTTTGAAGTAATGAGCTGGCTGAATTGGGTAGACACAGGTGCAAGGTGCAGGGTTGGGCAAGTGGGGTGTATTGTGGGATATATAGCATCCCCCTCGGCCTCTACCCACCACCCACAATGTCTTACGACACTGTCAAATGTCCCCTGGGGGGCAAAGCTGTCCCTGGTTGAGAACCACTGGTCTGGGGAAGGAGCTCTCAGATGGAGCACGACTGTCCAGTCACCCTAGAGTCCTCTGACTTCCCAAGCAGCCAGGAGGCGTTGTGAGAAATTTAAGGTGAATGAAATTAAAGTTATTAATAATATGATAATGCTAACAAGTAGTACTGAGTGCTTAACTATGTGCTAGGGGGCTAAGCTCCTAAGATGCATGATCTCATTTAATCTGATAACAAATTGAGAGGAGGGAAAAATGATCATCCTCATTTTACAGATGAGGAAATTGAGGCTCAGAGGAACTAAGTATCATATCCATGTCACACAGCTAGGAAGTGGTGGGCTCTGTATTCAAACCCAGACAGGTCTTTACTTAACGTTTCTCTTTGAGCAGACCCACTTCTTTTTTTTTTCTGGCCACACTACACAGTTTGTGGGATCTCAGTTCCCCAACTAGGAATTGAACCCAGGGCCCAGGTGTTGAAAGCACAAAGTCCTAACCACTGGACCACCAGGGAATTCCGTAGACTTAGTTTTTAACTGAGAGGCATTTACTTACAAAGTAAGCTTTATATCACTATCAAAGAAAGGAAACCAGGATCGTTTGCCACAGATGGAAGGAAACTATAATCACAAGTATGTATATCTGCTCAGTCGCTAAGTCACGTCCGACTCTCTGCGGCCCCATGGTAGAGTGAAACCCAAACATTGTTCTTAGGTTCAAGCTGGACACTTTCACCTGTCAGATGCTCTGAGCCACCTCAGAGTCCCTTGAAAAGGAAGGAAATTCTAAAAAAAAGAAAAAAGAAAAGGAAATTCTGACAGGTGCTACAGTGTGGAGGGATCTTGAGGACACTATGCTAAATTAAATGAGTCAGTCACAAAAGGTCAAATATTGTATGATTCCACTTACATGAGGAACCAAAAGCAGTCAGACTCCTACAGGCAGAATACTGGTCGTCAGGGACGACAGGGAGGGTGTGCGGAGTTCGCATTTATGGGGACAGAGTCTCAGTTCTGCAGGTGAAGAAAGAGTTGTGAGAATAGACGGTACGGGTGGTTGCACAACAGTGTGAATGCACTTAATGCCACAGAACTGGACACCTAGGAAGTGGTAAAATGGTAAATTTTATGTTATGTGTATTTTACCAGAAAAGAGAGAGGGGAAGGAAGGGAGGAACGGGAACACAGAAAATGACATGATGTATTTTCCTCATGGATGTGTATGTAAATGCACACAAAAAATATCTTGGAAATACAGAAATCAAGTTTGTAACCATGGTAGCCTCTGGGCAAGGAGAGGATGGGGACTTTGCCCTGTCTGTAATACTTCAGCTCTTCATGGAGTGAATGTATTTATGTATTATTCATAAAATCAAAAACATAATTAAACATACTGGTTTTTCAGAAAATACACATATATACATACATAAGCTTGCAAGTCTATAAGTCTATAAGCTTGCAAGTCTATTAAGAAGCAACTTAATGATGGGCACCTCTGAAACACAGCCCGGTATGGTGGAGGAAAGGAGGGAGACACTGTTTATTCTCTGCCCTCCCGTACTGTTGGAAGTGTTTAATATGTGCATAGATTACTTTGATGATAAACTAATATTATTATGCCCAATCCTTTTCCACCTATGTCTGGCCATGAAATCCTCTTAGAGGTGTAAGCCTTTAAGAATAATTTTAAAAACTAAAGGAAAGTTGAAAGGAAAAATGATAACTTGGGTTTGGGGAATAAACCCAGAATAAGACTAAAAAAGTGATGAATTAGTAAGAGGACATAAACAATATTTGTTTTCTTTAAAGTGTGTGTGTGCTGTAAATGTGCCTTTATTTAAAGCTTTTTAATTATGCATTTTATTCTTAGCTATTTTAGCAGAGTTTCATTATGGTACCATTACACTATCCTCAAGGGACATCCACAGGGCCAGTCACTCCTAGAGGGAGGCCTTTGTTTATGCTCAGCTGGCCCCTCCATGCCTGATGTACCACAGCTGCTACCCATTACTAGGAGGTCAGACTGGATGTCCCCCAGGGCTTTCTTTTCCTGAGCAGACTCCAAAGAGGTTTGCTATGGACTGAACTGGCTCCCCACAAACATCATATTTTGAAGCCCTAACCTCCAGTGTGAGAGTATTTGTGGAAGGGGCTTTGGGGAGGTAATCAGAGTTAGATGAGGTCATGAGGGTGGGGCCCCATGATGGGATTAGTGTCCTCAGAAGAGACACCAGGGCTTTCCTAGTGGTCCAGTGGTGGAGAATCCATCTGTGAAGGCAGGGAGCACGGGTTTGATCCCTGGTCTGGGAGGATCCCACATGTCACCGAGCAGCTAAGCCCATGTGCCACAACTACTGAAGCCTGTGCTCCACAAAAAGAGAAGCTACTTTTGTGAAAGAGAAGAG